CGGATGCCCGCAGGCTCAGAGGGAGCAGCGGCTGCGTGTTTCCTCGCTCATGGGCTCAGGAATAGGCGCCAAACCCCAAATAGATTGAGAAAATGGAGTCAAAGAGGCTGGTTACGGTACAGTTGAAATCAGCCTGTTCTTCCTCACGGAGGGAACCAGGCTGCGTGTTTGGGAAATGGGTGTCCTCTAGTGGAGTCAGCATCGCTGAAAATAACTTGTAGGATTCCTACAAGTTGTAGCATATAACTTGTCTCCATTTGCAGAGCTTGTGGTCGCCCAAGGAACATGCAGCCTGTTGGTACAATTAACATGACCTCTGATAAGAAGGGACTTCATTACCTATGAGGCATTTGGAAATAATCTCTCCAGTTGAGAATGAGCCCTTGGCTCTCAGCTGCATCTGCCACCTCTGCTCTGACTCACCTGAGCAAGCCAGCAGCTGGGGGACAGACTGAGTGGTCCCTAAAGCATTTCCCTGGGATTAAATGAAACGAGGCATTCTCCATCGCATGACAACTGAGATGCCCTCAGTGCACCAAAGCACGCAAGTGCATGTGACACTACAGGATGCTGAACGGGAGCTCACAACTTGTACTGCACCGGGAACACTTTGCTGGCCTTGATTAAAAATTACAGCCACAAGAGTGGAAACACAGGGGCTGGACAGTTGTGCTTCCCAGGAGGGATCTCCCACCGCTCCAGCTTGAGCCAATTCTTGCCATTCTGAACGGCCAAGCAGAGCGCAGCACCATCTCAGCGCTGCCTTCTGCTTCACCTCTGCCAACCAGTGCAGCTTAAGGCAGGAAAGGATTTTGAGTCTCAGCTTCTGTGTCACTCCCTCTGGGCTGCCTTGGTGGCTCTTGGGCTGGGGAGCAGGTCTGTCTGCAGACGTTTCGCCAACACCAGCTCATCCCCTATGCTCCCCACCCAAGCTGTTTCACTCAGCAGCTGGCGAGAGGTAAAGCTCCTCTCCCCTCCGCAGGGCAGGGGCATCCAACATGGCGGGGAGCTGCAACCGGGAGGGAACAGCAGCTGCTTCGGAACTGGCTGGGAAGGGTGCTCTGCCTTCATTCACCTTCCTGCAGAGGCAACGACTAACGAAGACACTTCAGCGTAAAATTAGTAACAAGATGTAGCACACTTATTTTTAACGAAGTGACCTTCATCAAGCTCGGAGCTCTTTTTGCTTAATTTTTTCCAAAATGAAAGCCAAGTCAATCATGAAATGCTGGGAGATTATGTTAACTCTTTATTAATAAATTGATTTAGAAAGGCTTAGCGAGACAGGATTAATGGATTTGATGGTCAGAAAGGCCCGCTGTAATCTTCTAGTCTGACCTGCTGCAGAGCACGGGTCTGGACTCCTGCAGCCCACCAATCGAGGCAGTTGCAGAAGGACTTATCTTTTAATCCACGCCATGGAGAGTCTCTGAAAAGTCACTACATTCTGGTCCAGCGGTCAGCCTCGCCGCCAACACCACGCGCTCTGTTTCCAGTTTTGTTGTATATCTGACTTCCCCTTACAGCCCCTGGCTGTGTCAGCTGAAGTTCTTTAAATAGTATTATTTAAATACTGTGTTTCAAAGTATTAATGACTCTCTTACTCATGACTCTTATTTTACAGTATAAAAGTAATAATGGGCTTGATTCTGAACTTAGTTACTCCTAAAACCAGGTGGAATAAATTCATTCCTGTAATGGCTTAATTTTACATTTGCGTAACAGAGACCAAACCCTTCTCCACAAAGGTACAACCCAAGCCAATCCAGGGGAGAGTGAGCTGTCCGTGCTCCTCTTGGCTGCCTGCTACGTTGTACAGACACTCTGAGGAGCTGAGTATGGAATGGTAAAAAAGAGAGTCAGCCGTAAAGTGCTAGGTTTTTTTTGAGGAACAAACAAAAAGTTTGATTACCAAAGCATGTCATATGTCTGAGCCCAGCTCTGCACACTGCTTGTCTGATATGTGGTTAGCTAATGACTCTATGATGTCAAGGAGGAGGAGCTGACTTAGGGAGCGGAGATTTGGCAACTTGGAGACCTTCAAGGAAAACAGAACAGAAAAAACAGAAAGAAATTAAAACCCTCCCCAAATCACCGTTTCACCCCTGCCAGCCCACGGGGAACACGCAGGTCAGGCTAGTCAGCGCTGGGCACGTACGGCATGAAATCACAGTCAGGAGCCGGGCTGCAGAGGACGGGGCTCCCGTCACGACTCCCTGCGCTTACAACCCAACTTCAGACTGCTGTGTGGAGGGGATGGGAACGGAGGACGGCAGGAAAGCTGACCCCAGCACTGCCCCTCTGAGAAAGGAGAGTAATTACTGTTTATACTGACGACTCTGCTGCTAATGGATGCCGACTAAGCACTTTCCTAAAAGCAAAGCCGGGCACTGGCACAGCCGGGACCTTTGAAGTCCGGGTGTTTCTACTGAGCACATGACTTCAGACCTGCTCTCCCCGCTTCCGTGTGCTCCTAAGGAGAGGTCGTGCCTCGTGTCCCTGCTGGTTCTGCTGGCATGCTTCCCGCAGTCAGAGCAGGTCACAGGAGCACTAGCCAACAAAAACCTTCGCCACATCAGATATATGAGACTCTACAACAAACTTCATGCTCTTAGACTGTTCAGAAGCTCAACTGTTATCAGAAAGGAGCTCTACAGATTCCTTCCTTTTCCACAACCTCATAGTAACAAGCCAGTGATCCCTTTTTCTAGTTATTAACATCCCTGCCCAGCCTTGAAGGCAGACCCTGCCTAAAAGCCTGACCGCTTACCAAACCTGTATTAACCGATCTAATAAAAGGCTATCACCTCACTCTAAGAAGCTTGGCTGTGCTAAAGAATAAAGATCTCCCGAGCACCTTTTGAAACCCAGGAAGGAAATGGCTGAGTACACTTTCAGAAAGAGCTCAGGACATGTGCTTCAAGTAATAGCCCCAAAATAAGGGCCTGCGAGGACTGGGAGGGAAA